GTGTATTGGTAAATAAATTTATGGGTATACGCACCTAAAAGTAGTTGAATATAGTATATACCTATAATATATATACGATATACCTACCTTAAAAATTTTCTCGCTCCGCTCAAAAAATGATTACACTTTGTATTTAATAATCTTTTATAACTTTATTACAAACACTTACTCTTCATGTGTATATATATATGCAGTGGCGTATATACCCCCCTATATACGCCCCCTAGTTCGCCCTATATTCACCCACAACCATAAAATTAATTCATATATACTCCACTGTGTGTAATATGTACCAAGTATCAATGTATTATTTTTTTTTTAATTAATTCAATTTCATGGTATAAGTCTAGTTTACCGGGCACCTTTTTTTTTTGAAATTTTTTTTTTAAAAGGGTTGCCAAACGGTCGCCAAACTCGAGGTCCTCCGCGCGGCATTATAGTAGTGTTGCGCGCACGCGTATAAACGTAAAATCGTTAACTTTGGGAAGCTATAACTTCCAAAATAATCATTTCCGCAATTTTATTTTTGCACCATCGTTCTTAACTCGTCAAAACAACCCTTTTCAAAAAAAAAATTTCAAAAAAAATATGTGCCCGGTAAACTAGACTTGTTCCCAATTCATATATGATATATAACATAAATAATACAACTTTTTATTATCAAATTTTAAAACAATTGTACAGTAAAATACTTATATAGTAGAAGTAGCGGTACGTTTATTATCCATTATCGATCATATAATATTATAATATATTTATATACAAATATTTATATATATTTTATTTGTATAAAATATTTTACAAATTTAAAAGAATTTCAAAATTAATAGAATTAATATAATGAGAAACTAATAGTTCGATTTTATAATTTGGTTATTGGATGACAAGTAATAACACAATACATCAACAATAATTATTTTATTATTATTCTAATTTGTCATTATCATTTAGTTTGAAATGAAATTACGTATGTTTATTCACAGTTTGGAAACCGCTGTACATTGATTGTTCATTGATTGATTGTATTGCTCGGCAGTTTCCGATCGTCTTCGCAAGAAAACGTCGGGTAAAATTTAATCGAACTTCATGCGGGTACGGGGCTATTTTTAGTATTTTTGGACAGTGCACTTTATGTTATAATAAAATATTATAACTAAATATAATTTAGGTTATTATTATTATTATTTTTAAGTTTTTACTTTTGTTTGGTGATAATATGCCTAAATTGTCTGATGATAAATTAGAAGCGTACGTATACCCATAAAAGACTAATTTTCTTAAAGGTATACGCATAAATCCAAAAATAGGGATCCGGGTATACGACGTATACCCGCGTATACCCTCCAATACACCACTGTATTTAACTTAATAACTTCAAAACGATACGGTCTGAAAGTAATTTATAATTACATATTTTTTTTATGTGTGTATAGATATCATTATAGTTACTACTTACTATACCTAGTCAAATATTGGTTTTTTTTATTAAATTAAAATAAGTTCTGTTGGGCACCAAACATCTGCAGGGTTCGTCTACAGTGAAATAATTAAACTATTGGCATACCTACTATATTATTATAATTTGCAGATATCCGGACAGCTTTACCCTGCAATATATTATGTCGTACAACGAATATATTTTGCTGTATACTTCTATATAGGTAAAAACGTAACGTTTATATTTCGATGTATATAATATGTACGACGGGAATGGATTCTTTATTGAGACGTCAATCGAAAAACCACAGCACCGCAAAACGTAAAGTGGCTTAAAGAAATACTCATATGATGGGTACCACTGGTACCAGATGAGTACCTACCATACGTATTGTATTATATTATATAATATTAAATACGGTATATAGAATTCATTATGCTGTACAATGCGCGATAAAAATGAGTATAAATCTTAAAACATTTGCAACGGACTATTAAATCCGTTCGGCTAATATGACGTATAAAATGCGTAGGTCATATTATTGCATTATATTATAGTGTCGGCGACGAGACATGAAATGAAATGTAAAAAAAAATTCACACACACAATAGCCGAAAATCGGGTACGACGACGAGCAGTCAGCACTGGTGCGGCGGCGGCGGTGTCTGGCCCGCGAACAATATAATATAATCGCCGCAGCCAATAATAGGTACAACACATAATATTATATTAAACATAATGTATAATGCGATGATTTACGCGAGTTACAGAGCTTAGCGGCCATTTTATTTTTCGTTGGTTAATCGTCATTAGGGCTCCCTCGGCTTTTTTCCTTTTTTTTTTCTATTTTGCAGCCGGTTTGATATCATCGTCCGCCTGCTCCTCGCACCGATGATCCGCTTATAACCGCGACAGACCCGCTGCAGCGTTGTGTTGACTTATTCATGTGTAATGACCCTTCCGCCGCTCGTTTCGCACGTTTCGCTCAGCGGGCGCGACTTGCATATAATGATATATATTATTATTATATATTGTACACACACACACACACACACCCGCGTGTGCGATACGTATAGGTATATACCGCGCATACCCAAATGTGGGCACACATCACTCGTGTATATTATTCTATATACGAGTCCTCCCCTGCGGGTAACCCCGGTAACCCCGGTAACCCCCTCGACGCATTGTTTGCGCGAGCTGGTATATAACCGAATTAGAGTACTTAGCGACACCCCTCGTCGCGGCGGCGAGAGGGTTCGGCGGCGGTCGGGGACCATTGGCAGCACACACTCACATTATATTATTATTGTATTCGCGAATGTCATATTATCAGCGCGACTATACCACACGACTATAATACGCGTAGGTACTATTATTATTACTAATAATGCTGCGTCTTCATTGTCGTGGGGCGACCGCCATTTTATCACCGATTGCGTGTTACGCGTATTATTATATTATCGTACACGATATATATATATTGTTCGTGCGTAGATTTGTATTTGTGCGTTTGTTTGTGCGAGTTAGGTCGAGTGGGTACCTATATATGGTTGTATTATAATATATGTATTCGAATTTCGAGCGTAATATATTATGGTTATACAACCGGCTCGCGCGCCCTTATATTATCGTCGCTTAATAACGGCCTAATAACTGTGCTCAGAGCTATATAGTCGTAATCAGTGTTTTAGGATTTCATGAAAATTATTTTCTTGAAATATTTAATTGCAGCACGAGAACGTTTTTAAAAGTTTCTTTATTATATTGAATACTAATAAATACCTAATAGCCGATATACTGATACATGATAAATTAACCGATAATATAAATTATGATACCATTTATACCTAATTTATAACTATTTAGATAAAGTAACTCGTAAACCTTGGTTTGTGGTTGATAAGTCATTCATTATCGATAATTTCTGTGTGTCATCAATATTGATCCATATGTTGCACCGAAGTTGGGAGATTGTAAACTCGGCCCGAGGAAAAAACATTTCCAAAAGGTCGATGGTAAACTCGGCGCGGGTTTTTTCAGGTCAAAATTATTTAGATGTAAACTCGGCCCCGATTTTTTTCAGGTAAAAATGATTTAGGTGTAAAAACCATCATTTTTCTTATAATATTTATGAGAAACATTTAGCATTACCCAGAGGACACCACGAGGAGGCGGTTCTCATTATCCTTCAAAAATTATTTTCATTTTCATATTATTATTCATAGTATGAAATTCGTTATTTAAAAGAAAAATGTAATTATATAAATGTATAAGTGTAAAAATATAATAAAAAATATATAAGTAAAATTATAGTGTAAATAATGAGTGAAAAATTTTAGTATAATAATATATAAATCTAGTTTTTTAAGTAAAACACCATGTATTTTACATATTCACTCGCTGATATTTCTTTATTTTTATATTTTATAAGTGTTCTTTCTGAGAGTTCTTTTTTTTTTTTATATATTTTGGAATTTAAATGGTCCATTTAGGCTGTTGATTTTAATGTACGTTTCTGTTTGTACTTCTTTTAATTTTGAAATGACGGAATATATATTTGGGTGAGTGGAATTAAAACTTGAATTAAAATGCGCATGAAATGATACACATGCATTTTTTGTTAAATACGTTTCAACTGATGCACGGGCCCACATTTCAGGCGGAAACATAGAATCTGACACCTGACATTTTCGGGCCAAGTTTACAATCGATTTATTTTACCATCTGAAATTTCCGGGCCGAGATTACAATGTACCTATTTTTATTACCTAAAATTCTCGGGCCGAGTTTACATCAAAAAAGGTAACTTCGGGGTGGCCCTGAAAGTTGTACCAATATTTTCTAATATTATAATCATTTATAATCATCTATGACCAAATACGATTAAAAGGGCGCAGCTAATGACTTATGTCTTATACTATTGACCTACTGTTGAAAATTATAGTCTCTAAAATATTAGCTGACAACTGCAGTTTTATTTTCGTAAGATATTACATTTAGCCATTTATAGGTAGGTACTTACATCATAACATTACACATGCAGCGTATTAGTTTTTAAATTTTAAAGCCAGATCCGCGGTACACGCCGTTTCGTAACTGTGTCCCATATATCCGACAAAAGTAGGTACATAGGTAACAGCATGTTGGCAGCACGCTACACACAACAGACGTTACATACAAGTTGTACTCGTATATTAATATAATATTATATTCAACCCTATAAACTACAAGGTATACCTATTTTTCTGACCACAGAGTGCCGACTCGGTATATGGTCCCGGGGTGGGGAGTTCCCGAAATCAAAATGAATATTGCATGTGCTTGGTATATAATATAATAGTAGAATTCGAACATCTACACTACGAGTGTACGAATATTATGAACAAGAAACTTTTGGCGACGGCACAGGATCGTTTGAAATCTGAACCGTGTTTATATGTTCTTACGCCGTCCCGAATTCTTATTGTATGCCGTACAATAGGACATGGGTACCTATATATTGTGGCAGCAATACTAAACCGAAGAGACTGGGCATTAAGCTTCCCAGAGATCATTTTGGATGCGGTCATTTGACATTATAAGTACTCAAACGCAACCTCCATCACGATTCAATGGGATCGCTATAATATGTTGTACATCTCAGAGATTGAAATTTCACATAGGGTTGCAGAGGCCGCTTACGCATCGTATAAAATTGTCTGTACGTCAACATAGAAACTCAGCTATCCACTCGTCAACACCAATACAGCAATCCACTATAATTCCACTGTACATCGTACATTGGCACGCATTCATGAAGGTGGTTAAAAGTTTTCATCAAGAAGAATCGAACGGCACGACAGACTCAAATAAAAATGCCGACGACGACAGCGTTTCCCTCTACAGGGCTCACTGACTGGCTATGATGACTAGAAAATTATCGTGGTGGTTATCAGGTCATGGAAATACTATGGTGGCCGGGACAGAGACGACCGCCGTGGTTAAGTTATATGCTCGAGAGGGGCCGATCGGTTAACCACGAGATGATATTTTTCGTCGGCGGTCGGTCTTCGAGGAAAACGGTGGTGCACCGACAGTGTCACCGACCAATTTTTCACACGTCCAAGTCCTATTCTTTTCGAATATTTTTAGGACTGGCCAACGGACAATATTATTTTCTAAGTATTTTTTTATTATATTCAAATCAATTGCAATTGCATAATTACAATAACTGATACGCATACCCACTGAGCTATAATTTTTGCTATAATCGTATCTGGTATATAGAAAATTCTCTGTCTGTTATGTAAACGCGAGCTGCAGGTAACGGAGATGATTTCCGAGACGTCGACGATGATCTGTGGAAAACGCTCTCGTCGGACGGCATTTATTTTCGCGTACCTATGTCTTGTCGTTCTATTCTCATTCTAACCGTTTTTCCTGGCTGTTGGTGACTACTGTGTAAAGTGCAACGAAATCTCAGCGAAACGAGTCTTTATTGTATATGAGTATAAGTATATAACAAATACCTATATTTGAGAGCCTATCATCACCTCCGGTGTACTCATGATGTAAGATTCATCTAATAAAAATTGTTAAAACAGTCACCTGAAGTCCTTAAAAAACATTTTTAATTTAAAGATTTCTACTCTCTAAAATATGCACAAACAGATACCTAATTAAAATTTCCATAAGTAATAATTTGAATAAATGGATAAATTGAGTTTGAAAATGTGTTGAGTTTGCTTAAAATATCACCATATACATATACGAAGAACGTGTATAGGTTATAGGAACAGTCGACCTGCAAGTTAGATCTTATGTATAATGTATTCTTATTATACAAGCCTATGTATAATTTTTCGTCAACAAATTCTTGTCGCAAAACATTTTATTTTAAAATTACTTTCGTTATTATAATATGCGCCGACGAATCAAATAACAATGAACTGTAAATCATTGTATTCTGCAGACTTTCAGAGTGCAATGCGATGCTATGGTGTTGATGATATAATACTAGCATATATAGCTATAATGATATACAGTTGGTATAGCTGGTAAGGGGAAAATAAAGTAGCCTCTAAAAACTTCTTTAAATTAAAAAGTATATAATAGAGGTAGGTACATACATTCGTTTTTAAGATTCGTGTCATATTATCTTCGGAATTAGCAAAAATATAAACAGGAAATATCGTGTGTATTGCAGAATATCATAATTTTAGCAGTTTTTATAATATTATATGTGGTTTTTCTGGGAAATCAATACGCATTTTACAATTACCCACGGGCCACAAGACTATATTATTATACAAGCAATTTCCGATCGATTAATACATGTTATGAATTGTACAAAATGAGCAAAAAAACTTGACTACAAAAAAAAAAACTGCACGCATCGTCCAAAAAGAATATCCATAGAGCTAATATTTATTATAAATGTTTGAGTAATGTATTGTTAATAATAAAATTAAACTATTTATACTTGTTAGATGGATTATTCTACATATTATGCAGTATGCACATTGTGAAGTGTTGTTAACATCACGGTTATGGTTATCTACATAATTACCCGTAATTTGTATCGAATGATATCATACCTCTATGGCTCTATAGGTATATTTGCCTATATATCTGTAGTATGCTAATTAACATGTACTTGCCTATACAAACATATTTATTATTACAAGTATAAGAGAACGGACATGTTCGAAAATCGATATCCTTCGAATATTGCAGACATCACAATATAATAATAATAATAATAATAATAATAATAATAATTTATCAATTGGAGACTGAATAACTGTTAAAATAAAAAAATATCTCACGGCATCAATGTATTTTTGCCGTCTATGACAAAATCTTTAGCGCGTGGCATTATTTTGCATTATTTGCATAGAACTACCGAAGATGCTAATTTATATTGTAGAGTCTCGATGAATAGAAGAAAAAAAGTAGGTATATATTAATATATTATACACACGCCGTACCTATACATTATATTAATTTTATATTCGTCGAGGATTGAGGAATGTATAAGGGATATAAATGTACAATAATAATAATAATGAGGTAATTGAAGACATCGGAGACATCCGACGGATGCGTTTGCATTTGAACGGCGCCTCATCCTCGTGTCGGTCATACTGATGAGCTGACAATATTATTATATTATACTGTCGTACACACGACATACGTGATATTTCTGTGCGTATAAACTGTTATGGCGATATAGTAATATTATATATGTATATATATATACACAGAAATATATTATAATATGATAGACAGCTGTTCCATAGTATAATTGCTTATATATTCCGAATTATAAATATATATATATAATAACCAATATGTATAGTGGATAAGTCAACGTCACGTGTATATTCACACAGACTCGTGAGAAATCGTAATACGAATACGAAAACGAAAAAAAAAATCGACAGATAAAGTTATCATGAATCGAATATTCGTTGTTTATAGGTTAGGTTTATCATCACTATACCTATATAAAATTATATATTATTATAAATTGTATTAGACGGTAAAAAAAATATATAATATCTATACTTATAAATTATAATTTATATTGGTGTATTAATATATTTTATTATCATGCATGGTTAAATATATATATGAGAAATTTGGTTTTGGTTTTACTTATCATATATCAAGGGTTTTTTTAAATTTATTTTACATATTTAAGAATTTTTATTATTTACAGTTGGTGCATATACGTATCGTATCTTCAATGTAATTTAGTACCTATGGTTTTAAATTTCAGTAAATCAATAAAGACGCATTCGGTTTTATACTATTCACTATTCTGTATTCAGTACAATATATCGTATTATACATTTGTCTGTCTTAAAATTGTAACTTGTAATCGTATGTGATATGAAAAATATACAGAAATATAGGTACAAGTTTCTACGATTTATTCTTCTAATAATGAGTGTTAAAAAAATAAACAGAACTTTGTTGTAAATAATATTTATACTCGATTTTTGACAAATGTTTGAGTAATTTGTTGTGCATAAATGTAGATGGGAAAATTATTGTCTAGTTTGAGAATAAATTTTTATTTGAGTAATTACAAAAAATGAATTCGAATACAATTTTATTTAGATAGTTATTTAAACAAAAATGTATTCATTAAACATCATAAACGCATGCATACTATTTTAGAGCATGAATCTTGGCTAATCGTTATATATATATTAATATTCCAAATATTAAATATGCTTCAGTAGGAGAAATGTCACAGTAGGTTAAATAACCGAATTGATATGCAATTAGTCGAGTCGGTTCAAAACTATATAATATATAGTTTAGACATTATAGGAGTACCTAACTAATAAGATAGCTATAATAGATAAAAAAAATTGCAGCATTAAGTAGTTATTACACAGAATAATATTCTGTGATTATTATTAGTGATTGAAGGGGGAGGGGGGCACCTAATATAATTTTGTTATTTATTATACAAATATAATTTCATGTATAACACAATGTTATGTAATTATAAAATTGCACCACGCCTCTGAGGCGTAGCCAGGGGTTAGGTGAGGGGGCTAAAGCCCACCATTCCACCCATTGACTGTGTTTATTTTAACCTATATTATAATATTAGGTATATTTAAAAAATGATTTTTACAAAAACCCTATAGCCCCCCTACCTTACGAAATTCCTGGCTATGGCACTGTTGTACCATATGTCCATAATATGACCCACGTGACCTGTATGACATATACCTATTATTATTTATATAATTACCTATAGGTATTCAGATGCAATACCTAATTATGTTCGAATAATACGATGGAATTATTATTTTATTTTAAATAGTTTGGATAAAATCTCCAGGAAGTCTACCAATATTATAATTTACTATTTTATATTAGGCGATATTATATCATATTAAAATAAGGAGTAGCTGAGGCCAGCGATTGTTCACATAATACATTATTATTGATAATACATGTAACATATGTATATTGTATAATGTATAGGTAGGTAAAACAAAATATGCGAAACAATAATATTATTATAATTATATATTGTTTGAAAGTTAAAATCTCGAGAAATATATATACACACGACTACACGAGCGATCAAAACGTATTTATACAAACGGTTAATTATATGGAAATAGCGCGCATTCGCATATATTATAATAATATCACTTAAGGTACTGTATACATATGTATATTATATTAGTAAAGGTAAATTTAAAATTATATATATTTACTCGACTGCCCACTCGATGTGTGCAGCAGTTCGCCGTCTAAATCCGCCACCGGTCGATAAAACTTAAGTAGTTTAAGTAGGAGGATAGGTCGCAATATTAATAATATAGTAATAAAAATAATACAAGAGGTGCAGAATCAACGTGGTTGTAATAATATCGGCGAGACGAAACAATGAAATTGCCACGTGGCGTAGAGGTGCAGAGGTGTTTAATGAATCATTTGTTATATGCGTTATGCAAACATTATAATAGGTAATATAAAACCATAAAATAATATTAAATAAACCGAAATTTGACTTCCGGCGTGAGAACGGGAAAAAAAAGTTTTTATAAAAAAACATATTATTTTATTATTGATATCAGAGTTGTTCGCAATTGTATCCACATAATAATAATTATTCGAATAAAAAATCATTTAAAAATCATGTTTTTCTATAATATTATTATTTGCCGAACTACTTATCCACTACTCTCTGATCGATAGTACTGAGTGACAGAAATATAATTTTAGTGTTTACATTATTGTAGTTTTGCGTTAAATAGATTCAACATCGCTTTGAGCTGTAACTAGTGAGTATAATATTGTATTATTGTATATTAAATATAATAAAATATTATTATTATTATTACTTACCTTATTGTTGTATTATATTCGACAGCGAAT